AAACGTCAATGAAGAGCCATGAAACATCAGACTGTAATGTTTAATATTTTATGAGTGTTTTTACCGTTTGTAGTCAAGTTAAGGTTGCGAACATGTTTAGGAAATGGAACAGTCACGACAACATTCTCGATCTAAATAAGATATGGAAACATTGAGTGAAAAGACTTTGAAAAAGTTAATGTGTACAATATTTGACTTGGTATGATTACGTTAGGACGATGTAGTTAGTTTTATACAAAATGCTTTGAGATAATACGTATGAAAAAAATAGTTTAGGTTATATCTTTAAGTTTATAAATGCAAGAAGATGCAACAGCAGTTTAATAAATTGACATGATTATAAATACATACATTTTTACCCATAACTGGTTTTGAACTTATCGACAATTCAAATCTTCCACTTCCGCCCTAAAACAACCAAGAAAAAGACGAATGTAGAAAAATCAAACACTTTAATTTATTTCAATCAATAAAAAATATTTTAAAATAATTTCAACAGTTGATAAACCTCTTGAAACAAGACACAAGGCTTTGCAAACAATGGTAGCATATTTACTCTAAAGAAAAAACAAAATATACCATCAAAATAGACAATTTCATATAACTGATAAAACACCCAGCCGGTTGCCACGTTATATGATATTAAACGAAAACGACCATCCGGGGGGACGAATGACAAAATTCGTTCAGACTAAAATACACAGTCATTTGAAGTAGTCGCGTTCAAACGCAGTTTTAGTGCAAGATTGAAAGAAAAGTGTTCAATGTAAAAAGACAATTGTTATTAGTCATATTAAGAATAACTTGTGTTGACTTCGACCAGAGACAATCCATATTCAACATTCACACCTACGTACCTCCCATCTTCTGAAGCGAAGACAAGGATGAAAACTGACATCTTCAAGGATACGAGGATTTGTAAAACACATGTTGAGATCTATAATTAATACAAATCTTTAATCTACAGATAAATTCAATTTTAATCTAGGGACCAGTGTGCGAATTAACGGTGTGCAATGTGCAATTTGCACATCGTTTTAGCTAAAATGAAAACAATTGCACATCACTTTTTCAAACGATGTGCAAAAATCAGCGGTTTTAACGAAAACACTGCGTAAATCATATGAATTTGTTCACGTTTAAAATATTAATTTGGCAATTAGCGCTATATAATAATTAACGTAATATCGCTTTATGCCTATAAAGAAACACTTTTGTCAAAAAATTGCACATCGTTTTTCTGAACTAATTCGCACTGCTAGGGACATAACAAAGTATCATAAATATACCAGGCATGCCAGATAATTTACAGTTGCAGTCAATCTGAAAGAACAAAGTTGAAAAAGGTGAAAAATCTTTAAAATGTTGTACTAGAGAGTACATATAACAAAGTATAAAAAAAGGAAGGCACTTACAGTTACTTGTATTTCTGAAAATATGGTGGAGCCCTACACAAAACAGAAAATTTTAGGAATTTAAACATGCCATAAGTTTTCAGTTCGTACATGTCCTTAGTTTTAATTTAACATCAAACAAAAACGACAAACATATTTTTGTCATACATCTTCCACAAAGGGAACAAGAAATCCACAGTATTATAATGTTGTTACCTGTTTATCAATGATGGCATCAATGCTTTCGGCTACATCAAAATAAATCTATAACATGAATAGAATTAATTAGAAGTACTTAGGACTAATTTGTGATAATTAGAATTAATTGGAACTAATTATGAATAATTACAACTAACAACTAATTAGCAATATTTATTACAAGTAATTAACAAAAGAAAAAAGTTCACTCATCACATTACAACTAAAAAAAGCATAAAAAAGGATTTTCTTTCAAATTTCTTAATGGAACAATGTGAATATAGCTACGTACCTCATTATTTGCATATTTTACACCAGTTCTCCTCCATGGAACATTGGACAATTGACCAGTTGGGAGATGACTGCTCATACTAAGAAAATATGAAATATTTAACTTAAATTACATGTAGAATGATCATAAATGTGTAAACTAAAACAAATTTAACTAAATATTGTAGTAAGTTAATATAAATAACAACATAAATATAGAAATGTTTAGTGGTTTTACGGATTTGCTTTATATTTATATCTGATCCTTATATGAACAACAAATAGATCACTACATAGAAACATGGCTTGTATGTTTACCATAAGGAAGGTTCTTACTTGCTTTCTCCAGTCACTTTATTAACAACATTTCTAACTATACTAGGAGGTCTTATCAACTCGTTAAGGACATTTGACTCTGTGGCAAGAGGGAATCCATTATCCAACATCTCTTCCAATAACTGAAGAATATAAAGATATAATATCATATTTTACATCACATACAACAGAAAAAAATTGAAATTCATCTATAAAACAGCTGGATTCTCTACAAAATATACTAATCTCAAACCTCATATACAATGACACAATTTTCTTAAATGATTGTTTCAGTACAGTCAGAGAAATATTCTTTGATCAAGTCAACCACTGGATGAAGAAATTCAATCACAAACAAAGGTGGAACTGGAAAGGAATGTTTTCAATTCATCAATAATAATAATCATGAAAGTGTTCACCACATGTTGATGATATGAAGGCTAAATTACTTTTATCTACCACTAAGAATGCCTAATGCAATGCCTTTTGTTGAGTGATAACACTTCTTTGCAATGTAATGCATACTTTTTACATTAAAACTAGCAATCAATCTCTTGATTGGATTAGAGGCAATTGATTCAAAATAAACATTAATAAAACATTAAGTAACCTTAATATAAACACAAACCTTCATTTTCAACAACAGAAACAAAGAAGAGATCATGGCGAAATATACTGATGAGATAACTGAATCCTGTTGCAATTACAGGAGGAATGTCTTCTGGAGAAGTAGCCTGAACATAAAAGATGATATTTAATTTGTTTAGGAGCATTTTTGTCAGAAAAATATAACATGAAAACCATTCATGAAAGTACCTTAAAACTTCTCAACCAAACAAGCACAAACAACAATTTACACATATATTCATTTACCTTTCCTTGAGCTTCAAAGAAATAATCACAAACAGAGCGTCCCAAAACACTTCTCCAATGTTTTTCCAGAAATATATCCCTAAATGTACATGAAAAACATCATATGACCTAGTGACTCACAGTAACCCATTTGGTGTAAAGTTGTGATAACTAAACAATTGAGGAAGCTGAAATCATCAAAATGGCATCATCTAACTGACTTCAACACTATTGAAATTACAGATATCAGGTAATATCTCACGATTTTTATGACATTCTTTATTTTTCTGGGTATTAATCCTGTCACATGATACTTCTCATAATCTACCTTCACTGGCTTCTGACATTGTTCAAGCTTTCTTTAATATCTTACTGAAACTAATCTCATTTTACCTCATTCAAATAATTGTAAAGTACTTCTCACAATAATCACAAGCTGATACGTACAAAACCAAGAGAAGAGCTTTGAAAGCAAACAAATATAAAACCAATATATTCTGTCACTACCGACTCACCCTGAATGGTTGATGATAAACAAACTGTGAATCATTGTAAAATCCACAGATAATAAAACCTATAAAAATGTATTTCTCCTTTAGTTAACTAGCTTAATGGTTATAAAACTATTTTCATGTAAGTTCATTTCGTAAATATTTATTTATATTATTGCTAACATTTAACCAACATTTAAAAGCGATGTTTCCATTTAAAAAAAATTAAGATTCATGTAATCATCTTACTTGTCCCCAGACCACTGAAGACTCAACGGCCTTTACCAGCTGGCTTACCTGACTTATCTTTATTTATGGTCGGGAAGATTTTCGTCTCAATCCCATGATCCTCATTGATAACAAGTCAATGAATTGTAGGAGTCCCAAACAGTTATAAAATACCATGCACTAGGTACAAGGAGAGATGTTCTGTTTTAGTCGATTTTAATTTTGTTTATAAAAACGTATTTCGACATAGGAATGGACCGTGACTTTCTTCAGTTTTTTATGCACATGCTACAGAGTCCTTGGAATCTACTAACATGCTAAAACCTTAAACATAGACTGCATTCTGGAAAATAACTTTGTTCAAATCCTGAGTTTATTAAATAAGTCTCATTCTACTCGCTACGAGCGCCCTGCAGTGGGCTAGCTGTTCGAATTTTGAAAGCTGTTCATTTGCATCATACAATACGATTTATACCAAAATGCTGAAAATCTTCCTTAGCAATGACAATGTACATCATATCCACATCCTTATTAGACAACCCTTCTTTTGATAACGGATGCACTTTAGTGAAGTCTTGCTGGCGATGGTTGTTATATTTTTATGTTTAAAAGCATAACATTGAGTGAGAAGCCCTTGAATACATTGCCAACAATCGTTCTTTCAACCAATAACGTAGTGTAGAAAGTTGGAGTACAAAACATGAACAAAGGCATTAATCAATTCACAACAACAAGTTTGGAAAATACTCTCAGGCTCATATCATTGACTAGGTTTGATTCTTCTTACATACACCTTGATATTTCGAGCAGACACCTCTTTTCTTCTGGGATTTTCTGTCGGTACAACAAGAAAACAAGCCCAGAAATATATAATAAACACTTGCATATAAAACAATACATTCAACCGCAAGGGCTTCGAAAAGTTGTGTGTGTTCCATGCTAACTTGTGGTAATTCACAATAGTTAAACTGGTGTAATAAATTTTTGATATTTAATTCGATTTTTTATCTTTAACTGCATCATGTCACCCTCATTGAAAAGTTGGCAGATCGGTATAAACCAAGTATTCAATTTTTATCAAATCTTATAAAATGCTCAAATCTAAAATTGGAAGTTTCCGAACGTACATAGCTTCCCGACTCCTGAGCCATTTTTTTTTTTGTAGAGCTTAACAATCAAAAATTAAACAAAAATTTAATTGACAACAAGCAAAGACGAGTTGCATTACGAGCGAGTTGTTGTTGACATAATTATGAGATTAATGATTTGGTTTACTGCATTTATGTTTAATTTGTAGTTTAAATAGCCATCAAAATAAAAATAATCTGATAAAAATTCTTTTCTCAAAACGAAAAGCTTATCATTAGATAATTGATAACTCACAAATAATTGCGAAAATTGTCTTTTGTAAAGCAAGGCATGAGAAATATGGATGTTTCAATTAAAATAACGAAACATGGTAGAGTCCCTCGGCAGTATTCATACTTTGAGTTCCATACACACCAATGATGCACACTACAATAATAGAATCAATGGAAAATAACTGAAAATGTGGAATTTTGACCTAACAAGTAACAAATGACTGAAAGAGACAGATCTGGCGAAGTATTTAAAAGACTGAAATTCATAAATGCAAGCTTGTGGCTTAAAACATACGATCTTTAGTCTCAAAAAAAAATGCAACACAACTAAGCCAAAATAAACAAAAATTCAGCAACTTGACTTCGTCATCATTACCTCAACGTACACAGATTTTCTTTTAACAATTTCAAAGCTGCAACAAATAGGAAATAGTCACAACCTCACATAAAAGTGTCATTTTATTCAAATATTACCAATTTCCCCAATTCAATAAGTTGTTCTTTTTTGTGCGTATCAATCTTTTACTCTTTGCAGTGGTACTGTATTGACGTACATAAACTGAATAGCGTTCTAGTACATTGAACTCACGCTCGGAGCTCATACGAAAGAATTATATAACGCTAAAGTACAACGGATTTTGAGTACAGATCGAGCAACTCCTTAATTGCGTTACAAGTCATGACATCCATATTATATTGTTATATATAGTTATATGTATTGTTATACATTGTTATACTTGAAGAAATGCTATGTATTACTAAATTACACATGTTAAAATTTATTGTATATTTTACATAAGAAGCATGATGTATGGAAATCAAATTTAAATTTCATTCGCCTTCAGTTTCAGATCGTTAGTCATTTGAAGACAAAAAAATAGTTAATTATATAACATTGTAAAATCCAATGAAAATTCATAGCAATCTGGCCATGTAATATCCAACTTGGTTACTTAATCCAACTTGCTTAAGATCCTCAAATTAAAACATACATAAAAGAGGATCTTGAATTGTGGTATCATTGATTTCCTTCTTGCCAATTGCTTTCCCATAAACCTCTTTTGCAGACAATAAAAAGACTTCATTGATGTGGCACATTTTAGCTTTAAATTGGTAACGATAATGTTCTTGTTTTTCCATTCTTCATTTGTTCTGACCATTTACACTTAGGATAAATAATGCAAAGAAAATAAAATAATTGAAATGAGCTACTAAAAGGATTAATAACTCTAAGCGAAAACTCTTTTCTTTTTCTAAGCAAGCATTTTTCGCAATTTCAGCTTTAATGCGTACGACGTGAAAGAATTTGCTGACTTAAAGCAAAGAATACGCAATATTTACTATTGCATATGTGTTCTTTACAAGTTTGACAACATAATAAGCTATAAGTTTCTTTTTACCATACGATAAAAATATGCCAAAATCTCTGAATCACCATGATTCGTAGGTACTCTTCACTATCTTTGGATATCTGACAAATCGTTAATCTCGTCTAAAGATTTTTGACTATTGCTAGTACTATCACACATGCTTGAACCGTTATTTTCAGTTGCACAAAGTTAGACAACCATGCCAAGTGGAGAGATTACGGTTTTTGGTAGAATATTTAAGAAAAATGACACGTACACAGCATTAGTTTGTTGTTACATAGCTATTTACCGTTAAGATCAGGGTAATCAATAACAGCTTCGCTTTTCTTTCCCTTGCCTTCTTCAAGTTCTACAGGATGTTCACTGTCTAAAAAATGTTTGCAACGGCAATATACAGAATTATTCTGTATACTGTTATTAGTCAAAATACGCACCAAGCATCCGTCATCTTCACAGACGCCGCTTCCATAACATCAGATTTACCTCCATGTCCTTCTTCCAGAAAATTCATGTTGGTAAATTTCTTCCCAGAGGTCATATCCATAGCGTAAGGTTGACGTTCATCTTCTTTTTCTGATGGATTTTTGTTAGTGAGTTCACTTTCTTCATCTGTTCGCAAATATTTTTTGGTGGAGGTTTCGCTTGGATCACCTGATTCTAGTCGTTTGTTTCCTTTTTTTTTTAAAATATTTGTCTCACAAGTTTTTCCTTTGACCATGGATAACTCATTCGTCAATACTTCACTGGTTTCTATTTTATTGCTTAGTGAAGGACGTCTAGTTTCACCTTTATCATTTGATTTACTTCCGGTGTCCATTTCAGCTCTACTACCATCATTATCAACATTCATTTGTTCATTGGTTTTTTTCGTGAATGGAAAGTACTTGAGCATTTTCTTTTCATATACATGAAAATCATCTTTTGAAAATACACAGAAGATGATCCGACCTGCCTAAACAAAGGAACAACAAACAGTGTTTCCACAACGTACTATTTAAATTTCCTCATGAAGAGAATTGTTTAGAAAAATTGAAATTCGGACTACAGAAAACTTTATGACAACGAGGTCCGGTAACTTGACCGCAGATACCCATCATACTCGCACTACAATTTTTAAGAAACGGTAACTATTCCTTAATAAAATAATAAATATTTATTTAGGAAGTCCAACATTTGCCAGAGAGATTTTCATTAGGGCCCTGTAGTAGACATATTAAAGCTATAGTTAATTTATAAAACAATACTCAACAGTCAACAATACAACCGGAAAGTAAGTTAAACTATTTCGTTTAAAATGGTCGCATATCATACCCAGCTTTTGTTACTTTTTAACCAATCTTTGACTGTCATCAAAGCGACATCTGTAGCTTTCTCAATTGGATAACCTGTAGATTGGTGTAAAAATCGTCAGGTCAAAAATCCGTAAATTATAAAACAAAGAAACAGATCAAAAAGCGCACTATATATTCCTGTTGAAATGCAGCAGAACGCCTAAAAAGAAATCAAACTGTCTGAGAATTGTTATAACTGCATATGAATAGATAAAAGGTCGACGTTTGTTTTCACCCGTAACAACCCAATCCAAATAAAAACCTTTCTTCCGTCCAGATTTACACAATATTAACAAATACAAAAGAAATGTGAAAGATTTCATCAACACATACGACCGACTCCAATTTTTTTTCCTTTACTATGCTAAGACAGGACTCATAACAACTTTTCAACAGCAATTTATTCTTTCCCATAGGACCGACGGTATGAATGACATCTGAAATAATAAATTGAATGAACGATTGAAAGGTTTCCTTGATTGCTCGTAATCACAAGATATGGTCATACTAAATCATGTTCAATGCATTCAAAAGACTTGCATACACGATGCAATTGACTTCCGACCAGCATGAAATGAGTCGAATTTTCTGTGGTTGATGTTACGTCACAGTTTAACGTCACACGTGAAATACAAAGCGTTGAGTACAAAGGAACTAAATTGTGAAAGTACTTCACGAGAAAACGAGATTTGAGCTCCGTATTTTCTTTGCCATAAAAAAATTCATAAACTTACATTTTGCAGGAAGTTTGTAACCTGTAAAAGAAAGAAAAATCGACGATTAAAAGATAAAAGAATTAATTTAAGGACAACGTGTGAAATTCAATTCCTTAGCAATAAGCGTCTCATTGTCTTAGGTACAATTAATATGTACAATCAACCACATTTTCGGACAACGGACTTATACATCAAGACTCAGACAGTTATTGGCATATAATAATATGGTACCTGAAGTGATTTTAGCTTTGCCAGTTTCACACCCGTTTAGCGTGTAACATTCTTCATAAAGACACTCTCCTGCAGCACGGTGTATACAGCCATCAACTAAAGACAAAGATTTAAGAATTTTAGGATCTCCCGCGTATTTTTTGAACGCGCTTTCTAGTGAACAAACCCAAAACGTATATGAAGAAAATCAATAAAGCAGAATGAACGCTTCAGCAAATCGCTTCACAAAAATTTAGCTATACTTTATAAAGGTTTTGGAAATTTTTTTAGATTAAACTGTTGAGGTTATAACTTTTCAAGTTTAAAGTAGGCAAAAACAAACATGAAACCAAATACAAAAACCAAAAGATTGAATATATTTGAAAACAAATTAATTGGTAAATTTTATCTGAACAACTTTATCTGAAAATTTTTATCTGAAAATTTTTTTTGTAAAGCGCAAAAAAGCATATCAAATAGTAAGATGTGATAAGAAAAGGAAACAGACAGTAACGTTAAGTCGGTGGCAAAGAAGATTGGTAAGGAACAGCAATTGTCAACAAAAGATTAGTTTGTGGAAAAATAAAAGCTCAATAGGCCATAGATTGCCTTATGTGACCGGTTGATGTTGTCAAAATAAAGTGAATCTAATCATAATTTGAAATGACAACGTGCAATTAACACACTGTTAAGAAGCATGTTTTGACCTGGTATTCTAAAACATCATATTTTGTGATCAGTTGAAGCGTGAGCTTATTTTAGTCGTACTACACAAACTTTTCTACCTTTACTCACTGAGAAAACAATAGGTTTCAAATAAAATGAATAATGATAATGTTCTGAAAATTGCATAGCAGGGACCAAAACTTGCCGGATGCCAACGCAACTAACGTGTCGTGTTATTCTTGAAAAAAATTGCACATTATTTTTTCTTAAACAATTTGCGACCTGAGTGTGATCCTTAACATAATGTCTCCAAATCTATTTCAAAAAATGTAATTTCAAAATTCATAAGCAATAACTGTCATCCATACCTCCACCACCGCCCAGCAATGTGGTGTTGGCTGAAATTAGAAGGGAAAGTTCAATGGGTTATACATGTTATCATTAAAAACACTTCTGTCGTAATATTTACAGAGATTTAACATGAAAAATCTTAGCATAGACTCAAACCTCAAATACGACAACAGCTGCTAGATAAACGTAGCTGGACTAAAACTTGCAGAATGGCTACGCTACTGGTAGCAGTTATTTACACAAATATGTCCTTATCTTGGCCTGAGAACTTGTAACAAAATAAACTAAGCAACTATTTTTCAGAATTTTACCTGCATTGACGATCGCATCAATTTCTAAGCATGTGATATCACCTCTCCACAAAGAAACCTTGTTTAAAACATCATCTTCAGTGACAGACTCTACATTATTTAAAAGAAATAAAATAAATAAATAATATAAATAAAAAAGTGCATAAAATGTTAAAAAACAATTACGAAACAAAAATCACAACAACGGCAAGTCTTTCTTCTCAATGATGTGAGTTTGAGTTGCACCTTTTTTTACAAATTCGGGTTGTTTTTCTTCAACATAATCAGGCCAGGAAGAAATTGATTTCAGCATGACATAGTCTCGTCCACAGTGATAGTGAACACGTTTTTCTTCCACACTCATATTTTCGAAGTCTGATTTTTTTTGTTGCCAGGTAGAAGCCTTTTCTTTTTCTTTGAATTTTTTCTTCTTGCCAGCAGAATTATTTTTCTCTTTGTTAAATGTCTTATTTTGATTTTTGACATTTGCCTCCTTGCCTGCGGATGCTTTCTCTTTTTCTTTGGAAGGCTTTTCTTCCTTTTTGACATCTGTATCCATGTCTACACATTTTTTCTCTTCTTCATTAAATGTCCTTTTTTCATTTTTGACATTTGCCTCCTTGCCTGTGGGTGCTTTCTCTTTTTCTTTGGATGTCTTTTCTTCCTTTTTGGCATCTGTATCCATGTCTACACTTTTTTTCTCCTTATCAGTAGATGTTGTTTCTACTTTTATGACATTTGTCTCCTTGCCTGCAGATTTTTTCTCTTTTTCTTTGGATGTCTTGTCTTCATTTTTGGCACCTGTTTCCATGTCTACACATTTTTTCTCTACTTTATTAGATGTTGTTTCTTCTTTTAAGACATTTGTATTCTTTATAGATTTTGTATCTTCTTTATTACGTGTTGTTTCTCCATTATTGACACCTGGCTCCTTGCCTAAAGAGAAAGATTGAGATTGTTTGTCAAAATCTCTCACAGAGCAATATATTTTTTATAAAATGATATAAAACGTGAAAAATGTTGATCAGTTTTAACAAATAGTTGATATTGAGCAGAAGTAAAAGAAGGCTATATTTACATCAGGGCTAAAAGACTCCACTGGTAAAGAGTCTCCTTAAAATTTGTTGAAGTTTGTTTGAAAGCGCAAGCATGACGCTCATAAATGATTTATATGTAACCATTGAAGATAGGAGCCATTTTAGGGGTATTGGAAGCAAGGGTCAATAAGCTAAGTCCCTCTCAGTTTCCTAAAATAAGGGTAGTGCCCCCACACTCTTCATTAAAAAAGCAAATTACTATGAAAGAGAATGTTAACTTTATGTTTATTTTCACCATAAAACATACATATCTACACAGCAGTGAAGTAAGTTTCTAAATAATCGTTTAAACACTAATTGATTAAACACTGAGGGTACACAAACTCATAGGGCCAGCTCTACAATATTTCAGCAACAGTAATCAGTGTACAAAGACATACAAAGGGATGGGTCTTTGGGGCCAGTAAAGAAGATATTTCAAAACTAATTAGCACACATAAATAAACAATATTTTTTTACCATCTACTGTAAATGGACTGATAGCATTATCTTCTTTATTAGCCTGGTCTGTACCTGTATCATGGACCAAATAATTTTGTGACGAAGTGCTTTCGTTTGATTCGTTTACGCCTATTCGAAAATGAAAGCAAAAATATTGATGGTATTCATAATATTTCTCAGAAAACCACATGACGCTTGAAAGTATTTCGTTTGTATGTTTACACATTGACAATTTTGGAGAGTTAGAGAAAAATTTAAACTTAATAGTTCAACAGTGCAAAGAAACCGCTCGATAAGATTTAATACGTTGTTGGTTTTTTAAACAAAAACGAATAAAACCAGCTTTATTACTTCTATAGAATACAGTATACAAGCCCGATGCAAAGTATAGCCAGCTCAATGCAGAGTATAGCACGCCCAATGCAGAGTATGGCACGCCCAATACTCAACGAGTTAGCTGTTTTACGCCACTGCTCGAAAAAGCTATAATCATGCAGGCGAATCAACCATCGCTAAACTGGTTTGCCTTTTAGTGTGTGTGCACTAAATTTTTACGTGTGAAGATATTCATTTGGTGAACAATTTGAGTAATGTATTCTTATCTGACATCAAAATTGGTAGTTTCTTATCAAGGTAAAGTTATTGGTGCGTGCGGCAGCAGTTTGTTTACGAATGGATCGTTGATAGCTCTAAACTTGATACTTGAGATCATTTTTCGTAATCGCGATAGTTAGAGCACAGCTTTTAGAAAGTCATCAAAAGTTCGAGCCAGTCAAAACTTCTTCTGTGTATAAGTATAGCTAGAAATATGCTTTCCTTCTCATACGTTGAATCAAGCTTTTCGTTTGTTGATCATTCGTCTTCATTTATTACTTAAACTGGATGTTATATTCATGTGAAATGTTTGTCACGCGCAAGATCACGTGTGTGACAAAATTGCACATGAATCAAGGAATGATTTACTATTTACATAAATCAATTGCATAAAAAAACCTAAACAGATTTCTCGCCCGCATATGCTATACTTTGCATTTTTTGAACTGGTAAAACAGAAGCGCTACAAGTGCTCCGGACAAACAATGCAAAG